TATTTAACTGACTTAAATTTCTTTGCTAGCCCCGATCCAATAATTGAATTGAACTTAAAAGTAACTTTGTCTAATTTGTTTTGGTATAAATAAGTAGCTGCCATCTACGCCCTCGCCCTGGGCCCTTACGGCTGCCTTTGCCTTCGTCTTTGCCATTGCCTCTAGCTTAGCTCAATTTCACGGCCAATACTTCAAAATGAAATTTTAATTTATTAAGCGTAACAATTTTATAAATTGCGCTCATTGCATTGAAGCCCGTGCCGCAGTCGAGAGACTCGAGGGGTTGTTAATCCGGCGTAACTGCTGCGTTGTTCATTTGCTTGTTGTTGTTTTCAGTGGTTGCTCTTGTTGTTGTTGTTGTTGTTGTTGTTGTTTGTGACGCTGTTTTGCCGAGTGCCAAGTTGTGATATTTCGCACATTTTACCCCTTTTCAATGGCTGCCGATTTGCTGAGGGTTAACCAAAGGGGCGGCCTCGACTCGCTTTCGTTTTTGCTGCGCCTCCCTCCTGCCCATACGCAACTCTATTTGTTAGGGTTGACTTAATCAGTGTGCGCGCCTCTTGACTCTTTGTATTGTCGGGCTGCTGTTTGGCCAACTTGACAGTTTATTTTACTCTCTATCTCTCTTTTGGGGTTCCGTTATCTATGGTCTCATTAACGGGGTAAATCGCTATGCATGCTTCAATGATTTTTGACTGCTTCTTTTGGAAAGTCAGTCAAGTCTGAAATCAGTTTCAGTGGGACAAAGACAAATCAGCGAGCTAAAGTCCAAGAGCTTTAACAAGTTCTTGGTTAGATAATGCCGTATGGTTTCTTGGCCTACTTTTATTTTTATTATTATTTATTTTTGTTCTCTTTTCGCTAAGTTGTTAACTAACGTGCTTGGGCATATTACGTTTTATCCGTCGCTGAACAAAAAAACGTGACTTTTTGCGAACATTTGGCATTAGATTTGCATCCGCTGTACGAGTTTCTATCCGTGTTGCTGATACAAGTCTTTGAACATGTGTTAAAACATTTAGCAATATTGTTTTGCTATTTGGCTGGCATTAACATTGATCAGCGAGCATGTGCCACGAATGTGACTTTTGCAATTAACATTTTACTGTATTGTAAAATAATAGGCATTGCAATAAAAAGTAAATAAATTAATATAAATAAATATTTGAGTTCCGCTTGAACAAGCTAGAAAATAGTTTGATATAAGATAAGATTGAAATAAATTCTTTCCTACTTGTTGATGCTTGAATAAATATAGATAGAGTAGACAGAGTGGATAGAGTACAAATGTAAACTTTATACACAGCATTAGATACTCGTTCAAGACTTGAATTGAGTATATTAGATCTATGCATTATTTGTCTTTAATCTTTTCTTTCTATTTAAGATGTATCAGACTTGAAAGGGGGAATATATATAACAAGTAGATCAAGTATCCAAGCAAAAAAACATAAATATTAGACCAAAGAAAGCTTAACAAATTTAAGACAATTTTTCTTAATTTATCAAAATAACTTTGTTTTAGTTCTATACATTCTTTCTATAACTTTGATACCCAGATTTCGAATAAATATGAGTTCAGCCATATATGGCGTAACTAATCGGACTAAGTTGTATTATCTCCAGCTTTAGGGTTGAGATTTAAAAAATAGAGCTCCCTCTTGAAACTTACCAAATGCAATGTAATAGCCTAACTTCCACATTTTTTCTTGTTTTACTTTAGCTTTAATATTTTAAATAAATAATCCACTTGAAATTTTGTAATTTCAACTACATATTAAACTTAAGTCAAGACAATGGACACATTATCTATAAAATTGCAATCTTAAAAGTGAAATCAGCGTGTTGATAGCTGCAAAGAGACAGTTCACAACTAAAGTCATGAGCCTTTTGTCGATTGTCTTGTGACAACAGAGAGAAAGAGAGAGAGATAGAGACAAAATGAGAGAGAGAGCTGAGCTGAGCCAACTTAATGACAATGTTGAGAGGCAACATAACAAATGTGGCTTAAGGAGAACTAACTAACACACATTGTTGTTTGGTTTGTGCGAGGCAGACTCGATGGCAACGTTGGCAAGTGAAGCGTTATCAACATGCATGCAATTTACTCATCATCATAGATCGAAAGGTGATAGCCGACATGTTACTTTTTAATTGACGCGAAGATGAGTCAAAATGAATTATTACTGCAACTAATATGGAGTCGCCGCTTGTGCGGCAATTAGCCATGGCAGGAGCCACCAGCAGCAGCAACTGAGCCACCAAAGTGGTTGCAAAAGTTGGCAAAACTGCAATTTAGGCCGCATAGTTCGTTCAGGCCGGACGTTGAAAGACAATAATGCTTAATAATGAGCTGTAAAGTTTATTAATTGCCAGCGCGAATTTGCCGACTCGAGGAGCTTCAAGTGGAGGGGTTTCCATCTCCTATTCAAGGTGCGGCTAATGAGCCATTTGCGTGTTGTCAATGCTAATGCTTGGCTGTCCGTGTGTGTGTGTGAGAGTGTGAGTGAGTGTGAGTGTATATTTTGCAGACATATCCCAGGCACACATACACACAGTGGGAAAGAGAGACACACGTAGGCAAATGTATATTCACACACATTAAAACTGAATTATTGAACAAGTTTTTTAGCAACTGCAACTGCAACCAAATGACATCTGTGCCATGTGTCAAAGTTCGCCAAATGTCGCGCAGCGAAAAATGCACGCGACAAGAGCAGACACAAAAAAGTATATTTTTTTTATTTTTATTTTTTTTTTTTTTAACTTTTTAGACAATTCTATATGAAAATATAAATATTGGAATTGCAGACCCTAAGTAGGATCAATAGAATTGATATTTTTGTCCATTTATGGATTTATTTATTTTTTATTATTTTATTTTATTTTATTTATTTACCTAATAAATACAAAAAAAAAAAATCTAAGTAAAATTTCTACATCACATATATTTAATTTAAACTTTTATTTATTTATTTATTTTTTTTCTACATTTTGAATTGAACTTTATTTTCATATTTGCCAATTTCCATCAAAAATAATATTGAATTTTCTGGATTTATTAAAAAAAAAAAAGCTGGTGAGTTGTAAAAAACTAAAAATTTTCGTTTAAAATATGTGAATATTCATTCATTCAATACTTGAAATATTCATAACTAAGTTTCGTAAACGTTTTTTTAGATTATACTCTTCCTTATTCGAAACTCTTAGTTATATCACTTACCCATGATCTATAAGCTCGTGCGATCAGTTACATTTGTGTCAAACGCCCTAAACAAATTCGTTTTCAGCGAAACTCCCGGTTCCAATTAGAATATAAATTTAAGAGTGCCTGCCAGCAAATGTTGTTGCCATATGTTGTGTTTCACTCGAATACACGCATTCGGGCATTCATCTATTTAACATTTTCTAGTTAACACTTTGTAATTGCACAATGCAAAATTACTGAACTGCGAACAGTCGGCCGACAAGTGAAACGGATTGAAGCAGCTCTCGGGAAACTTGAAAGTGAAGTGTGCCATAAATCAATCGAATTTCCTTTTGCGCTGTGTCCCTTTTCGCTGTATAAATTTAAATAGAGTGACAAAAACAAAAACAAAGGAGTCAGAGTCGAGAATAAAAAAGGACATGCCTCGTCTCGAACTTGTTTTGCATTAAATGATGTGTGAAATGAAGCCGTTAAACATGTCCATTGGGATGGGCTCGTTGATTTCTAGGTGAATGCGCGCTAAGAGCAGTAGCTCTCGCAACACTCAAGGGTATGCAAATTAGTCAAATGTTTGAACAGCATCCATATGCTGCCTGTTTATTGCCATTAAACAAAAGAATAATCGAGCTGAGCTTTGTCAGAGGCAATATTTTTGAATGTAATTTGTTTAAATGTGAAATATGTCTTGATTTATGAAATGGTTGAATTTTCCAGTAATCAATGCTTTCTCAAAAAGCAAGTTTATATGTTGATGGAGGTATCAAATTAGTTACGAATCTTGAAAGAAGAAAAGATATATTTTATAATATGTCGAATCTAAAAACAGAAATTGTAGTAGGAAGAGAAAAATAATAATGTAAGTGGCTGTAGTAATTGTAGGGATTCAATGAAAAAGAGTCTTTTGTGTCTTTAGTCTGAAATAGGCATTTAATTATTATTTTCTGTAGAGATTCTACAAATAAATTATCATAATATAGTATATAATCTAGAGATTCTGTTGACTCAATTGCTTACATCTGAAACAGAATTTATCAAAATAAATTATGCAACAAAATACATCGATTAAAAGCAAATAGAAGAAAATAGACTTCTTATTTGTAGAGCCGAATGGAACTACATAATTTAACATGAATACTAATTTGAATACAAGTTTAGAAAATAATTGTTTTAAGTTCAATATAGAGATGTTTGCAATGTCTAACATAATAATATAATATAATGTGTACTAAGATGGAACATATTGATCAAAATAAATATTGTCTTTATTCGAAAGCTAAGCTTTCCATACTCACATCGCAGCAAAACTCATCTTCCTTGTGGATAATATCTCTGTGCTTGTCTCATCTGCATAACAAATATGGCACTGAGCAAAATATGTTTGAGGTGTCAATCTATTTGCTGTCATATTAAAACATAACAAAAGACAAACACAGCACACACACACACAGCTACCCACACACACACACACATTCATTGCTTTTGACACATTTGGTAATTGTCATTTGTGGAGCAAACAAATGCTGAGGTTTCCGCCCCACTCTGTGGCTAGAGAAGTCCTTTTAGCTGAATGCTCTCTCTTGCCTCTGCCACAAGCCGCATGCGAGTTGATTTGCTAATTGCTGAATATGTCTCCAGATAATCAATGTTTAAAATTTTGACACGAGCAACGCTGTCTAAAGACCAAGTACGTAGCCAAGACCTAAGAACTAATTGACACGACAATTACCAAAGGTGAGCTGTGGTGTCGGGGTCAGAGCGTTGGAAAGAGATAGCGATAGCTAGAGAGCCTGGTCGCCTGCTGATGCTTTAGTGCCTGGTCAGCTGCTGGGCTCATTTGCCACTGACCACAACGTCGTGTGTCGTGTGCTAACAAGCCAACATATCCATGTCCATGTCCGTATTACCGATACTAAAGGGACTGCCCCAATGCACTGAGAGAAAACTAAGTAGGAAACTGTCTTGGGCTTTAAAAAACTCTTGTGTTGTCTCGGCTCACACAGTAAAGTTTTCTTATTATTTATAGCCCTTTTATATTTCATAGCTCTGACATAACAATCATAATTTAACTGTCTTCATTATTTCTCTCAGTGCACCTGTCGTATCCTGTATGCTGTCCTTTATGTGAATGTGTTACTTTTGGGCTGTCTTGAGCAGTTATTGTTATATTGGCTTGACATGTAATGCATTGGTCCGATTGCTGCCGCCGAGACGAACCCCTTTTTGGGCATTGTCTGGCTGTCTGGCTGTCTGTCACTCAGCTTGCGGTTGTCAACCCTCAAACTCAAACTGCTCATCAGCTGCCCCCCATTCGTTTCCTTCTAAAATGCATTACGTATCATTTTCTGGCCTAAGCTTTTGCGGTTTTGCATATATATATATATATAAAATATATAGTTTTTTTTTTTATAGTTTTCTGTGGTCACATATTTTATAATTAAAAGCACATTAATTAGTCGCCTCGGCCACTGGCACTGCAACGCTCTTTGTAGTTGGGTAGTTCGCGTTTTGGCGTGTGCGTCGTTGGCGATGCGTTGATGTGACAACGACAACAACCACATCATGCTCAATGCTTTGATCTTTCTTTTAATACAGCCAACAGCGACAAGAGCAATAAATGCACATTTTTGCCATCTACTGAGACATTTCTAAGTATTACGGCCAGCTGGACCTATAAAGTTGCTCTACATTCATTGAGGCATAG